GTATGGGACTGACGGAAAGGTCTGTCACCGCCCCGTTCTGCATGCTGCAGCGAAGTGTACTTGGGAGCAACTGGCGGTGGGTAGTGTTTCAGCTGCTTATATTGACTGACGTTAAAAAAAAAACATCCCGTTTTCACCATTGTTGAATGTAGTAAACAACTCTTCAGTGAAATGCACAGTTAGATTTAACGCGCTACGTTATAATGGAGATGTTAATGCATGGAGACTTTAACATGCTTCTATTGTGAAGAGCACGGGGGGGAGGGGGTATTAGATTTGTAGTGTAGCTGAGTTGGCTGGTGTGCAAGGCGAGTCGTCATTTTAAGTATTATTAACACACAACGATAGACCCGATAATGATTTTTTTCTCAACCCTTCACGATCGGACCTAAATACATGATTACTGTCTACAACCAGTCAAAGAAGAAAAGACGTACACGAGGAGGAAAGAAAAAAGTCAATAAGTAAAGTTTGTACATTTCATTATCAGCTGAGCTGTGAGGAAAAAGATACCTTCAAATACAGTGAAATCGGTGTAATTGTTGAAAATACCATGATATAAAATTTGGGTCATACCACCCAGCTCTAACCGAATGCGTCTGGATGCGCCTCTAGGGGTCTCACGGCGCCTCAAGACTGTTTAGCGCGGCGCACAAGGAAGCGGAAGACGCAACTGAGCATTTTCCATGCATGCAGAGCATCCATAGTAGCCGACACTCGATTTCAAAACTCTGAACTTTTGCTGCTCGATGCGCCACGTCAACCAATCAGAGAGAATAATTTTTCCGCCACGTGACAGTTTCCTGAATGTTTCCCACCAACCTGAAACAGACGGACAGCAGCTCTTTAGCTGAAATCGACCGTCTGCTGTTGGTGTTCTGGCTGGAGATATCAGCACCGTTGTGGGTCAGCAGCTCGTTAAACTGACCGCGGTGTTAAACTGGGCTCGGGACAAATCAAATGTCTGTCAGCTCGCAACTCCTGGAGTGGTGATCCTAACCGAACAAACTGTATCTAAATTATCTGGTGAATTAATCATCTGCTGTGCGCAATACTTGCTTGCTCTCAGCAAATAAACCAAAGCCATTTTCTTTATTTTATCTTTATTTCATCTGCCGTAGACAGACCGGAAAAAAAACAAGATGCTCCTCCCTCTTCAGATGCACAGCTACCCTCTGTCCCGGTCTGAACGTAGCGTGTCCAACTTGAGGTGTTGGGTGCATTTTTGCTGCTCAGAATGCATTCGGTGTGAACGTAGCATGAAGCTGGCGTCCATGCATCGCGGCTAACAGTTAGCGATTGGGTAAATCAGATCCAATCRTTTTAAACTTCAACAGAGGCCATGCCTCCAGAAAGCAATCGCTTCTCAATAGCCGAGAGTCCAGACCCTCGTATGAAGCAAAGCGGAGGACAAGGGGCTGGTTTTTACCAGGCTACAGTTAGACCAGTGACAAAAAAAATTCATAAATAATTTTCCGTTTGCTGCTGCATCCAAATTCAACCCCAAGGAGAAGACTGGGCTGAACTAAAATTAAATTTTCTCCAAAAGTGCACCAAATTCGACAAATTCTAATTTAATATCCAAATAATTGAAAACGTGAACCGAAGGGGGAAACAAAATGATTCCCACCTGCTCCACATTAAGAGCCAAGAATCAACAAAGACCCTTGTATAGCAGAAGAAAGAGAGAAAAAAAAAACTTCCATTCTGATGGGAATATTTGCAAACCTCAGCTTCGGCGTCCGCCACGTCTCACTTAGAGAACCTTCCTCCAGGAGATGCCGTGTTATTCAGAAGGGGTTAAGTGATTTGACCTGCTCAGATGCCTGCCAAACGGATGACAGTCAATTAGAAGCACCAGCCTTGCACGGCACAACATAACAGCTTCCTTTTCTCAGCGGATGACTCAGGAGCACCGGCTTTTAAAGGAATCCTCAAAATGAGAGTTGTCTGAAGAAGTGTGTGTGTGTGTGGGGTGGCGGTGGGGGGGCTGTTATTTTTCTACGCCTGTTGAAACAGTGGTGATGCCGTTAAATTGCGAAATCAAAACGATTAAACAGAGAAGCACAGGAGGACTGAGTGCGACCTTTCGTAGACGTGCGCAAAATAGAGAAAACTAATTGCAGTATAAAATGTATCAAATGCAACATTGTCACTGTCTTATAGAATCTCTGTCCTTTATAGTGGGAATCTGCAAAAMMCCCCTGTCACAAMCTCACATCTAAATATGATTCAGGACCCTCGTCAGAAGTAAAAACTATATCTAGTCCTGTTGCTAGGGAGACCCCAGAGTTGAGATCAGGGACAATGAAATGATCTCTATGTGTCAGTGAGCTGGGTGTGTGCGGTAACTCTTCAAGGACATCATAATCATTAGGTATCACCTTACACTGACAGCTGCAGGAGATACAAGTCCACAGTTAAATGCTCACTGGGTGCTGTTTTAACTTTTTATCATTCCTGTGATCTTCTGCACCATCGTCCATTCTCCACAGGGCAGTAAAACACTCAGGGGGTTGGTGAAAGTAGWTTTGTTGTTGTTTTTTTTTTTAAAGCAGCAGGTGGAAATTTGCCTCTACCCACCCTTTAAATTGACTGACACGCCGGAGACCTCGGATGCCACTTTTCATGAACAGCACCTTTCATTATGAATGTGGAAAGCGACAGGCTGGCTTTCGACCTGCCCCTGAACGACGATGCTCTTTACTTCGCCCGGAGGTGGAAACTATTGTTAATTCATGAGACACGCAGCCTCTCTTTGTTGCTTTCTTCTGGCAGTAATTTCAGGTCCGACTCGGCGCACAYGAAGGAATGAAAGGTGCAACCGCTGTGGGTCGGATGTTTTATGGAACAATTCTTAATAAATCCCTGCAGCAAATAATAATTTCAAAGTTACAACTTGAAAGCRTAGTGTTCCTTGAAGAAAGGCTTACTGCCCGCTGCCTTTCATGGCCAAGATGTAAAAGAGCTCAGAGTGCGTGTTGTGAAGGAATCACATCAGATTTGAGCTCGATAGACAAACAGGGTTGAATGCAACAGTTTATTATAAAGTTTTAAGCAAAGACTTATTGTGCAGCAAATAGACGATGTGTTGTGAACAACTCTCAGCTACAACCACAACAAATTTGATCAACATATCAATAAAAACAACTGAATTATAGCCTTTCATTGCATTTTGTAAATTCAGCTGCCTTTACGGCCAAAYTAAATTGGAGTGTCTCCAAATGTTAATTAGCTTTTGGGATACATCTGATGATCATGTCCTAAAAGTTTCATCTCAATCAGTTCAGAATTTCAGGAGATATTTTGCTAACAGACAGACAGTGTTGACTTGGATACTTAATGCCAATTTTTTACATAAAAACCATTTGTAAGCACACCGTTCTCAAAGTATAATGTGGGTATTAGCTTTAGCTACTACAACACCAAATTTTAGCTCATTGTGTGTAAGAATTAATTAGTTATAGCCATTTTTGCACGTGCTGATTTTGTTTGTCTGTGCCGACCATTCTGAATCAGATGGACTCCAAAAGGTCAATCAGCTGTAGATGCCAACCCGGTGATTGCTTTATGAAAGTTTTATTAAAATCCGTTCAGTTATTCATGAGATATTTTGCTAACAGAACAAAAAGGACGCATGTTGGCCCTGTAAATGACATATTATAGGATCTCACAGCTGTGACGGTTGTAGCAACTTTACTGCAGCTTTGCCTCTCGACAACAAATTTAAAAAAAGTTTCAACAAAAGGATGGATG